CGTTTTCGCCTCCCCTTCCAATCCTTTCTACCGCTTCGACTCCATCATACATAGATTTCCTCTCGTTCTCTCTCTCTCTCTCTCTCTCTCTCTCTCTCTCTCTCTCTCTCTCTCGGTCCCTTATTTCTTTTTTCTCTTCTCTCTATTTCCTTTCTTTTTTGCGCCCTTGTCTCTCTCTCTCCGTTGGTCGCGAAGACCCACTTTGGCCCGCCCAAAAAAAAAAAAAAAAGAAAGAAAGAAAAGAGAAATTCCAAAAGCAATGGGAAAATTGTCTCAGTCGAAGAAATCGCACACACGCACGCACGCACGCACAACCTCAACCCAACAACAACAAACGGGATAGATCAGCCCCCACATATGAACGCGCCGCCGCCGCCCCCGCAGCCGCTACCGTCGTCGTCGTCGTCGTCGGCGTCGGCATCAACCACCACCAATAGCAGCTCGTCGCATTCTTCCTCCTTATTCTCCTCGAAGCCGCACTCGCAACAGCCGGCGCAGCACCAGCATCACTCGCTGTCGACGGTCGTGGCCGCCGACTGGCGGCACCGGCGCGCGCTGGCGGGCCTCTGCGGCGGCGCGGCGCGCGCGGCGGCGGCCGTCTCGGAGATGTACGGTACTGCGTGTGTGCTTGTTTGAGGCCCCACCCACCCACCCCACCCTTAACACCATACATAAAAAAAATTAAAAAAAAAAAGACGGCGTCGACAGCCGGCACGCGCTGATCGCGGTGCAGCGGGCGGTGGCGGCGCTCGAGGTGCGCGTGGACGCCATCGAGGCGCAGGTTAGTTTCTTTTTTTTTTCTTTTTTTGGTTCGATCCTTCTTTCGTGGAGGTCTTGTGGGCCCTTTGAAACAACAAACTAAATACAGCAACAACCAACCCCCCTAACCTTTGAAAAAAAAAATTACACTCACACACACACACACAATTTTGGCATCAGATTCTGAGGGACGTGCGCTTGGCAGCGCTGGCGGCCGAGGGGCAGCGGTAGAGAGCGGAAAGGGAGGAGGGGAATAAAAGGCGGGAAAAGGAGGTGAAGACGCTTTTCATTCAGGCAAAAAAAAAAAAAAAAAAAAAAAAAAAAAAAAGTTTTCTCCACATCGTTGCAAAGAATGTTGTGCTCACACACCCAAATAAACAGGCCTACCAGAAAAACCAGATTGACAGCTCCTCCAAGTCCTGCTGATTCTGTCGAGCCATCCCCTGCAAACAATACCAGTGAGAAACATTTTTGAATCTACTTCACACTACCATGCATTGGGCAATTGGACAGTGGAAGCAGGATTTGTTGCTTTGGACCTTGAATGACAATCACTGGACTCAAAAGGCTCTGTCTCTTTCTGTTTGAGAAGGAACTGGGCGATTGGAAAGGTTGTCCTTTCTTGGTATGAGCAGTCTGTCGCTGACGATTTAAAAAGGCTCTCCAAATAGAAAAGATGAGCAAAAGTTTATAAAAAGGCGGTATGTGTGGAGGAAAAAACAGACAAACGGCCTGAAACAGGCAAAAACTCTCTCTCTCTCTCAACATATTTCTCTGCACGCTGGCTATTTGATTATGACACAGAGAGTTTGTTTGTTGCCAAATTGTTTTGCGTTCCCCCCAGAGTTAGAGTTGGTTGAATATCATATACCATGTCACACTAATTGACCCACTCCCCTCCAAAAAACCAAAATTCGGCGCTGCTCCAAATTATTGAGCAAATTGATACTATTACACACCATTTGGAAACCTCTCCATCAGAATCTCGGGAGAGAAGCTAATTACAAAAACCTAGAGTCTGTGGCACAAGATCAAAACGAAAACGTTCAAGATTCGAAAAAGTATCAGGAATATCCAATTGTTCGCGTCTTTTAAAAAAACCGAAACGCCTCCAATACACTCAAAAAATGAAATATCTGGTAAGGTTGCTGTCAAGCAGGACAGTTGCAAGAATCAAAATAATGACTTACTGATCACCAGTCAACCACTGAGCAAAGATATCACCTTTTTTAAACAAACAACAGCGCATTGTTCTTGTCCTCTTGGATTCATCTGTGTTCACCTGGATTTTATATGTTGAAAATGCAAAATATACCAAAAGATAAAAAAATCCAGCTTTTTGTGGAGATTTAAGTTGCCCCTTTCAGCCTCAGCGGAAGGGGAAGCCAACAACCCTGTTGACGCTGCGCTCGGACTCTGCGCTCAGCTGTGTGCCCGCCAACAAAAGCAACACTGAAAACAAGCACAGCAGCCAGAGGCTGTCTTGGAGCCACCAATGGAGGATTTGTCACTATTCGCTTGAGGCTGATGAAATGCGAGTTTAAAACACACACAAGGTAGATCTAGTGGTCGCAAATGTGCAGCTAGTAGCTTTGTTAGTTGCTACTCTTTTGCTACAGAGTGCACACATAAGCCTGGGGTGGCGATGCTGGACTCATCGAAATTTCCTCCCTTGGGGCATTGGAGGTTTCCGAAGCAACCAACGCTGTCCCCCATCTTCGTAACTTCAGGGTAAGGAAACAACTAATTTCTTGAGCGCAAGGGGCTCATTTCGGCTTCAGGAACTACATGTTGAAGGCATCCTCACCATTAAGGACGGTCTGATTGCCTTTGATCCATCTTCTGGAACAAACGCGTCAGTCCTGTCCTATTGACTGTAACTATACAATGGCTCACAAAATTGGGCCAATGTTTTCAAGGTTGGGCTGGCGAATGCAAGTACAGCTGCAATAATAATGCCCGTGAGATTTGCAGGGCCAACAATTCTGTATATGAAGAAGATGCATACAAAGTTCCATTTGTTTATCATTGCAATTGCACGATTGGCGCATTTGCAATGATCAGTGATCCATTGGTCCAATTTTGTGGTGCATCATGGGAAAATTCAATTCAGGTGATTTCACTGTCCCATGACCATTTTCCCACGCAATTTTTCCACCAAACAAGAGAATATATAAAGAAAGGAAGATGGGCATTGTTGAAAGCGCTCCCACTTGCTCCTGTGTCATCTCCCAATCAATGAAAGCTCTGCCACTCACAAAAAAAAAATGATGTGCTCAATCCCATCAACCAAAGTCTTTCGGTCACAAAGTTGCATCCAGACTGGACATAGGATGCTGCACTGTCGATTGGATCTGAAACAGCAAGCACCCAGAGCTACCTATCAAACCAGCAGGCCGCCCAAGCAAGCTCTCATCCCCTAAAAAGCAGCTGTATGTGAGAAAAATCAACTCTGGCGAGGCGAAAAACGCAACCCATCTTGCCCAAATTCACCACACAACTACTGGAGTTACTGTTTCACCTGAAACAGTGCGCTGCGCGTTTTGGGAGGCAGGTCTAAGAGGACTTTGGAAGAAAAAACTGTCAGCCTTATCTCCCAGACTTGGACGAAATCAAAAGTGCTTCATGGACGTCATGTCATATACAGCCATGCACCACCACCTATAGAATCATGAAAAAGCTATCAGTCTGCCAATCCGTACCATGTCTGGACCATGTGTATGCTGAGCAATGTGTGCGATGTATATGATGATGGAAGTCGTTCTGGAGTCTGTAAAACTTCATTCAGGGAGCATTGCCACATGCTGCAGGACTGCTTCTAACATGTGTCTGGGAAAGGGTCTCGACGATTGTTCCCTGGCAAGAGCAGTCTGGAGTTAGGGATCCCTTCCTCAATGTTTTCTGACACATCCACAGAAGAATATGAGACTCTCAAGAATCTCACATAAGGTGTTGGCCCTAGTTTAGGTCCTAACAAGCTCTTACTGTACCATGCGACATTTGACACATCATACATTTTGTGTATAACAATGACCCTATCTGAAAGAGGGATCGATTCCAGTTGTTCCCATAATTTTTCTAAATTTTCTACTGTGTAGACTAATTATTCAGACTAATCGCCAAGTTTCCCGCTCTAATTGCGCAGTATTTCACTATCTTTGATAGTGAGGAAGAGCTCACTTTGGCTCTTGAGTTACAATTAGGGTTCGAGTAACTTGAGAGCCCTTTTTTATATGTTTACCTAATCTTGTAATGCTTCTTATCTCGTATCTTTCCTTCCTTGTCATTTCATGTGTGACCCCCACTAATGATCCTTCACCTACCTGTAGGATGGCTTTTTTTCAAACTTTAATCACAGGAACTGTGAATGTGAAAAAAAAGAAAAAATTGTAGCACTGATAAAATTATATGGATTTGAGATAATTTGAATCACAATTCCGCGAGCACTGTGGCCGGACACGCAACAAAGAGGACAAAAATCCAATATGTAGGATGGTGGGGTTAAAAGGTTTCATTACTACGTTTGTGATTGCGAAGAGCAATTTGGCTCCTTGGTCACAAATGGGTCTATGCTGCCTAACCTTGGCCCCCTATATGTGTACTGTACATAATCTTGTAAACGCCTCTTATCTCTCACTTACTTCTCTTGTCACTGTTCCCATGTCATTAGTTTCTTATTATTCCTTCCTTCCGTTTTTCTGCAAACATTTTCCCTCTTTCTTCCTTCTTCCTGTTTTCTTTCTTTCCAAATGCCACTCTCCCTATAAATAGCTGCCCTGGGAGGAGCAGTCTCATCAATAACTTTAAGATCCCCATACCTTGAATAACTCTAAGGAATTAGATTCCTTTTTGACAATACCACTGTCTTCTGCGGTTGCCAGCCTCGGGTCTGCCAAGCCAGCAATTCTCAGTTACAGGAGAGGGATTTTACCCGTGCCTAGCAAGCTCCCATAGCGGTTCTAATGTGGTGTATAACATCATTTTGTATGCCTTTCTGTTTCTAGGGAGGGATTTTGGTCACCCTGAAATTCTCAGAATCTCAACAAACTCTCTCAACCCATTTTTAAGAGGTTCTCAGCGCTGTGGAAGGGCCAGGCTTTTCTTTGTTTGTTGTTCCAGCCTTGCATTTGCCAAACTCTATTCTTTTGTTTGGTCTGGGGGCTTACAGGGAAACTTGTGAGTTGGTGATATCATTTCAAAACAGACTGAACCAGACTGCCATTATGTGTATTGTTGCGTGAGGTTACATGGTGCAGTTGGTTATCACGTCCTGTCTAACACAGACGGTCTCCAGGTCGAGTATAGATGTGACCAGCTGCTTCCTCTTTGCGTTCCCAGCTTTATATCGCTTGCGTTGTTGGCAAAAAAAACAGCTTCTGCCCTGCAATGGTTTCCATTTCAATCAAGGAAGGCAAACTTGACCGACACGCGAAAATTGGTGGATTTCTCCAGAGACAGGAGAGTTCATGGAGGCACAGGGGATCGAACCCTGGGCATCTCGCATGCGAAGCGAGCTATCTACCACTGATATATACCCCCTATACCCCCTATACCACAGACTGCGCACTCAATATTTTTAAAAGTGAGCAATTACAAAATGGCCTTGTTTGCAAGACTTTGGTGTGTCGTATATTTTGGAACATCACGCAATTAAAGAGGCTTGGTGCAGATCTGCGCCTATAGCTCCATGGACCAGCACCTTTCCAGCGTTCCAGTTCGTTCCGCCTTCTCGGAACGGCACCATAACAACGCATTTTGTCGCGGACTGGCGAAAACCCCTATCTTTGTATGCCAAAACAGCACAGTACAGGAAGTTTCTGTCCCATTCCGCGCCACCTCCCAGTTTGAATTAAAAAGGGGCCTTCCCACTTTCGGAAAAGTAAAGCAACAGTGGTGTGATGGCAGCATTCCGTTCCATTCCGCCTGAAACGGAATGGACCGGTACCGGCAAGAAAATGTTGTGCCGTTCCGTTCCGTGCATAGCCTTATCTGCGCCTATCACTCCAAATGAAAAACGAAAAAAGTGCCTTCCCAGTAAAGTCCAAGCGGTATGACTTTTACACAGTCAACAGCAAAATAAGCAAGATGGGAGCGCTGCCGTCGGCATTGCGTGTACAGGGTTTCTTTTTTTATTTTTTTTTTGGGGGGGGTTTCATTGGTACGGGTTTGTTGCAATCAGTCAGAAAAAGAAATGCCAGTATTCTCCCTAACAGCGCAAAATTTTTATCAACAATGAGCACAGACTGCCCCTGAGAGAGATGCAGACAAAAACAGGATGGTGTTTGTAAGTTGCAACTTGCCATAAATTTTTGAACAAAATGGAATTTGATTTGGCTTTAATAAGCCCAATCCAAAAATGTACTTGATTGTTGCTGTGCGGGTGTTGGAAACACAAAACAAATCTCAGAAGACTGCATAATGTTTTTCCATGAGAGGTGCCTGGTTTCTACTTTTTACAAAAACAAGCTTCACACGCTACGCACAAAACAACCGCAAAAACCTATGCAACTGCAAAAACTTCTCCACTCCCAGCCTACGCTGCAGTAGTCACTGTGCTGTCAGTTGTAGAGATTGCCCCTTTGGTAACAACCTTAAGCCTAGGGACCCTCTTTTTTTTGCGGCTGCTCGCCCCAGCTGCTTCCTCTTGCTGCTGCTTCTTGGACCATTTCTTCACCTCTTGCCGTGCTGCAGTCAGCTCTTTTTTCTTGTCTTTGTACCCACAATCCCTCTTGATCTGTGCTGAGTATTCTCGAACAGCGGTGAAGCAGAGATCCTGCACATATTCCAGATTGAATCCACTTTGCTGCATTAAGCACTTCTCATATTCTTCAACTCCAATGTACTCAACAACTTCAGCAATTGTCTGGCGTTGGGCTTGCATTGCTGCAGAGTCACGACCTTGCGTGCCATTTGCTCCTTTACTCTGCTTATCAATGTCCATCCAGGGAGTCTTATCCACTGCAGAGTCATCCCCCTTATACCGGCAGCAGTGGATAGCAGTGTTGACTGGCTCCCCTTTTCGCCTCCAACTGTCTTTTGTTCCTTTCTCTCCACTGTTAAAATGTCGAGGATGCAGTATTCGAGGCTTATCAATTGTGGTGTTCATCTGGTGTGTTAAACCGTGGGAAGGCAAATCGAGGGAAGTCGCAGGCATGCCTTCCAAATAGAAATTACTGTCTTCAATGGCAAACGGAGTGGTACAATTGGTGGCACTGTTTGTTGGAATGGTGCAAGCCTCTGTGCCAGCATTTGACTGAAGCCATAGTGACATTTTGGATACAACAGTACTGGCAATAGAATTGAATGTTGTGTTGATTGTGTCGAGCCGTTTTGAAAGGAAATCAAGGATTTCACGGACTCCACTGGAGGATGAAAGGAAATCACAGACTTCGTTGGCATCATGACCATCAGCAGCACTCACAGTCCTATCCGCTTCATCACTGATACCTGAACAGCATGCACGCTGTTCTGAAACCATATAGCCGTAGCTGCCCACAATCTCATCCTAAAGGGGTCTTTTAACCTGCCGTATGTTGAGCAAGTGTTTATTTGCGTACGTCAAGCTCAAAGACATAACAAATAACAACATCCACAGTTTCTCAATCACCCCACCATCGTAATGCTGTCAAATTCCATCAGGGAACGCTGTAAATGAATTGAAACTGCGCACCACCTAACAGAAGCAGTGGCCTGTGCAATGTTCGATAATAACATCAACTTCCGCTAACTTTAGCGTGTCGTTAAATATATGAACAAATGTGTCTGAGTCCAATTCCAGTTCAACTTGCACAATGGGGCAAGCCCTCACTGATTGTTTTTCAAGTATTAACTGTGGGGAAGATGAGGGAGTTGGGATCATTTTCAGCTTCCTCACTTGGGAAGAATTTGGAAGAAGATTTGTGTGCCCAGCAAGTGCAGGATATTGTGGGTCATCAGTCACCTCATAACATCTTCCAACACTGTCTGTTGGAGTTGACTTTTGAAATTTGATGCATGTGAAAAATACTTCAGAGACCCCTAGGCATTTAAGCTGTTCTCGCTGTTCAGAATCCTCTGGTCTGGTGGTTGAAAATTAGGGTTTCCAAAGTAATTTCGATCTCACCATAATATCCTTCAACTGCAGATGGAAAACTTGTGAGGACGACAGGCTGTCGAGCCTGTGACCTCAAATAAATTAAGTGTATACCCACTTTTTAACTGGTAATTGTGAGGATTACCACCCCGTCTCGACCCGCGTTTTGCTGGCAAAACGTGACTAGGCTTGGATTCCTACTCTCTTATTATTTATTGGGTTTCCATACGGCCTTTGACTGGCTCTGTATGTCTGCCTCTGAGCTCTACTATTATTACTTATTATTGGCGATGTTGCAGACAGAAAGACTCAGTCTTGCTTCTAATTGCTGATCAAGGTTCCCTTGCTCAGTGGTTAGAGCGCTCCCTTCAATTGGGAAGGTGCCAAGTTCAAGACATGCTAGTTGACAGACTGGGCAGAAATGAAAAGTCCTACTATGCCTGGCCAACGGCCCCTTACTTTTGGAAATGACTTAGGACTGAAACACTTCTGTGGGAGAAGTGCTAAGCCCAGATGGACAGAGTTAACAAGATGATGGCAGAGCTAACAAGCCCTACCACCTGCTACCATGATGTAATACCTCATAAAAAGGGTATGAGATCACAGGGTTTTTCTTTATCTTTTCATTGATGATTTTTACTTATTTTTCCAATTAGTAATTTATCCTGTTTTTCCTGTTTTTCCTGTTTTCTCTTTTATTTATTCCTTGTTTGTCTCTGTCTGTGTCTTTTCTTTCTTGTGTGGCTGAGAGTGACTGTCTTCTTATCTGCACCAATCATTTCTTGCCAGCCCTCTCCCTACTGTTTGCCAAGAAATGCCCCATGATTCTCTGAGCTGTCTTCCTTGTTTGATGGCTCAGCCCCATTGTTTGGTGACTCACTCCTCCTCTCTCTTCTTTGCTGTTTTATTTATTGTTTTGTTCTTTTGTATATGTTTTCCCCTCTTTTCCCTTCCTTCTTCCTTCACCCTGCTGATTCCAACCCTTTCCTATTTAAGCAGCTGCCCCCCATCTTGTTGACTGTGAGAACCTGTGCCTGAAGTCCCTTGCCTGCCCCTTTCTTCCTGACTGTATGTAGAGCTGGGGGTGGCAGTCCCCTGGTGTGTGACAGGAGGTTGAAGTCCTCTTGGCCATGATGGCAGTGTGCTGGGTTCAAGCCCCAGTGCACCTCACCAATTCTGCATGCTGCTTAGGTTGGACTGGGTAGGAGCCACTTGGTGATGGAAGGATGGAGGGTAAATCTGTGGTGGTGCCTCTAGGTTCCTGTCAATACATCTAGTCAAATCCAGGTCTCTCAAGGGGATATGAATGAGCTGTCTGGTCAGGTACTGCTGCAGGAATGGTCTCTCAGGTATGCCCCCTCCTCCCTGGTTGTTGGCTCCTGTGGCCTCTGGTGGGCCTGGTCTTCACTGGGTTCAGACCCTCTTTCTCTCAGATTAATGCCTGTGATGTCATGGTGCCACATTTGGGTGAGGGAGTGGGTGTTAACCTTCCTTGCTTCTAAGATAGGGAATTCCTCTGGCTTGGTGAAGCAGATGTCTGTGTCCTAGTAGGATGAAGTAAGAAGAGTCCCACTGTCTCCCACCCCTGTGTGCCCCCTCCTTGGATTGAGTTGGAACTTCTCCTTGGAGTGAGACAAGTTGTGTCTGGTTCTGTTAAGTGGAAAACAGTTCTGATTTAATTCAACAGACACCTCTGCACACTAACTGTTCCTTGTGTTTGCCCTTTGTGTCCAACCCCCTCCAACTTAGGGCTTGTCTTTGACAGAGAGGGAGCCTTGCTCCATGGTGGTGGCTCCAACAGACCGGGGTCTGGCCACTTTCCTCCCCACTCTCTTGTCTTCTTCAGTTGGATTGGAGTGCTGCACTTAGTGCCGCTCCCTGGAGCTTGCTGCATCTTGCACCTCCAGCATTGTTACTGGATTTCCCGGTCCCCTTTGGCTTTGGCTTTTGCCTCCCATTGGGCCCACTCTGTGTCATGGACCAGAGAACCCTGCACATTCTTTGCTGGTGTGCCACCTTTTCACAGTTGCCTTTGGTCTGAGTGTGAGAGTCTTCTCTTTGTGTGTAATAAGAGAGTTTCTTTGTGTTTCTTGGGCTTCTTAAGACTCCAAATACATTGTCCTGTCTAGTGACCCCTAGACATCTCCTTTTTGCCCTTTTTCAGGATTGGTATTTAGGCCATTGCTCTATTTGCCACCCATAGCCCAGGGTGAGGATTTAGAGAGCACAGTCTCACAAACTT